GGGTCAGAGGCAGAAGCAGGCTCCCTGCCGAGCAGGGAGCCCGATGCGGGACTCGATCCAGGGACTCGATCCAGGGACTCGATCCAGGGACTCGATCCAGGGACTCCAGGATCATGACCCGAGCCGAAGGCAGTCGCTTAACCAACTGAGCCACCCAGGCGCCCCAGGAGTTGTCACATTCTTGACTCATGTTATGCTTATGCGTATAGTTGTTCAAAGCATCTAGATTATTCTCACCTGAATTTCTCCTTCTCTTAAACCTAACTTACAGAAAATGACAGGAAATAAAAAGAGGAATGAACATGAATGGCCTTTGTTCTTTTACACAGCAAATAATCACACTTTACTCTTTTCTAATGTTACTTTAGCAGTTCTTCCCTCACCTGAGAATCAGAGATAGTTACTACAACAGTCTTCATGAAATGTCATGATTAAAACTTCTAACCCAGAGAGTGATGTGAACTACTTAATAAAAACCGGACAAAGCATAACTTTACAATTAGTAATTGTGACTTCTCAAAACACAATCCACAGTCTATAAATAGACCAACTAATTCCCTTGGATAAAAGAAAAACAAAAAGTTAGAATGTTAGAGGCTCATTGTTTTATTCTGAGGAGATAATTACATTGTTATATTTTCCCCTAGAATTTAATATTCCCATTGATAGGTTTGGTGTAAGTGGATTAGTAGTTTATCTTCTTTGATAGAATGAAATTGGAATGGCTTAATTATCTGTTTTATTGCAGATTCTTAGAATAGTGTTTTAATTTATTTGCATAATGGTTAAATCAACTTATAATTGTATTCATTTTCTTATATGACCTTGACTTATTGTATTAAGAATTTCAATTCATTTTAATTTTCAAATGTTGGAGGGTTCGTAATCATTTGAGTTACTAGTACAATGTGCAAATGACATGAACAAAATCTATCAAAATGTTGTTTTCCTTGAATCATTCCTTTTTGTATAACAGCTGTAAAGTTTACTGCAACCTAATCTCAAAACATTTGTGTAACTATTAGTAATTTCCAACTAATTGTGTAACTATTACTCTAAACTAATCTTCAAAAACATTTGTGTAACTGTTACAAAAGCCAAACAAGGAAAGGCACAGATGAAATTTAAAGTAAATTTAACTACACAGGGAGGTACAGCAACCAAAAGAACATGAGTTTGTTTGTTTGTTTTTTGCTGTTATTTTAAGGACTGTATAGAACTTGAAGACATCATGTGTGCCTGAAGACCAGAATTAAGTGTGGAAGGGAAAACTGAAAGAGCGTGTTGAAGGAGGAAGCATTTAAATAAGTAGGGACTTGTATATTTAGTGTCAGAGGATTGCTTGTTTCTTCATAGCACAGGGAGTTTACCGTAGTAGCTCCGAATAGTTCTGTAGAGTCCACATTGGAAGTTGTAGTTGTGGAAACTGAATGATAGCTTTGATCAGTTCAGAAGAAATCATCACTATTATTAACATCCTTAGTAACATCTCCATCAACATTATCAACACCATTTTCACAGTCAGAATCATTAACATTTATGTAAGTGTTTATTTTATCCCAGGCACTGGGCTGAACACTTTAAGTGCATTATCTCATTTTTTCTGATACTATGGGCGAGATACTTCTGTTAACTTTATTTACAGATGAGAAACCCAAGGCTTAAAAGGTTTAGTTAAATTGTCTTAAGGTCACAGAGGTAATCCGTGGCAGAGATTGAACTCAAAACTGGATTTTCTGTTCCCCTAAACCTATGTTCTTAACCACCAATAATGAAAAAAAAAATCTGGAAAGAATATGAAGCCTAAGCTACTAATTTTAAGATCTCTGGTTTGGAGTTTGCCATTATGCAATATAAAATTTTATGTTAGGGCCAAAATAATTTTCTACCAGTATGAATAATTCAAGGTCTGTTTATTTATCTTTATAATTTCCCACTTTGATTTTCAGTATCAGTTGAACTGCTGGAATAGAGTATTTGACATTATTATTTTAAAGGGTGTCAGACGGCTGAATTTTTCAAGGAACATATTTTTAGTATTTTTAGGACTTTTGCTTATCCTTTTTTTTTTTTCCTTAGGAAAAATTGGATGTAGGGGTGAGAAAAGAAGTCGATGGCATGGGGACATCTGAAATAAAATACGGAGACTCAGTATGCTATATACAACATATAAATACAGGCCTGTGGCTTACTTACCAGTCTGTGGATGTGAAATCAGTGAGAATGGGATCCATACAACGTAAGGTAAGATTATGTAAAAACGCAACTTATAGCCACCATTTTGTATGACAAAAATACACAAACGCAAAACAACAAGACTTTGAGCTACCTGCTAAACATGCAAAAAGGTCAAATCCCACCATAATAATCTCTTTGGTTTTTGTGAGGTGAACAGTGCTGGATGTTACATCATGGCTTTAAATATGAAGCCAAGAAATATACTCTTTTCTGGATTCTAGCAGTCTCCCTACTTCACTTTGTTCTCCGTGCTCCTGCCAGGGTTATGTCTCTAAAATGCAGGAGAGCTCATGCACTCTACCTAATTAATTACTTTAAATTTAAAGGCTTGTACTTGATTAAGTTATTAGAAGATTTTTGTGCATGTTTGGGAACTTAGGTATGTGAATGTACTTTTCCAACGCTAAATGTCATCAATTCTAAAACAAATCAAGTATTTTCACTAATAATTTGGTATCAAAATCAAGATATTCTATAAGTATAAAAAATAAATACACTGGATTTTGAAGGCAAAGAACAACAAAAAGAATGTTAAATATTACTTCATTAATAGCTTTGTTCTGTTTATTGGTTGAAATAGTATCTTGGATATATTAGGGTAAATCAAATATATAATTAAAATTTTACCTTTTTAAAAAAAAATTTTTTTTGATGTGTGCTCTAGAAAATTTAAATTTACATATTTTAGAAACACTTTCTGCCACCCCTTCTCATCCACCCCATGCTTCCTTCCAATTACTACCACCCCAAAGGATAAATACTATCATTGCTTGTGATACTGGGGATGAGATTTGTGCAGAACTTTTTATTTCATTTTATGGATGGTGATTTTATTGGATTTGTCATACTGCATCCTATATTGTTATACATCAATCTTTACTAGAAAGGTAAGCATTCAAAGTATGATTGCACAAATCATAAGGAACAGAAAGAGGGAACAAAGCAAAATTCTTAACTCAGATATGACTTTCTGTGAGCTCTTCTCTCGCACCGTATTTTTGTTATAGCTTTTATTAAGAGTTGAATATGATAAATGGTTATGGGAAAATATAGGTAGAAATGATAACGTGTAGACACATTTTTAAAATATTTATTTATTTGTTTGAGAGAGTGAGAGAGTGTGTGTGTGTGTGGGGGGGGAGGAACAGGGAGAGAGAATCTCAAGTAGACTCCCCGCTGGGTGCAGAGCCCAATGCAGGGCTCAATCCCAGGACCCCAAGACCATGACCTGAGCTGAAACCAAGAGTAGGACACTTAACCCACTGAGCCACCCAGGGGCCCCGTCGTATTTTTGCAAAGATAGAAATAAGTTTTAATCAGAAGATCACTAGAAACTTCAGGTGCCATTTCCCCATTCTCTATACTTAAGTGGTAAATGCAAAAAAAAAATTATATATATATAATTTTTAAGCCATATATATATATGGCTTAAACAATTGTCTTCAATCTTTTTTTGCTCAAGTACCACTTGAATGAATTTTTAAAACCACACACCGCTTGGTATAGTTTTTGTTATAAATTTAAATAATTGCAAATAAGATGATTTCTGGCTTATTGTAAATAGGAACATTTTAAACCAAACTATACATATGTCTTTTAAATATGTTGTATGGTAATTAAATCCCAGGAGTTTCCACAATTACCTTTCCTCATCCTGCTGAGTTCAATGATAACACCAAGCCCTGGAAATTTTATCTTCTAAGTGTACCTCAAAATAATTCCCTCTGCCCCCTCCCTACAGATCTAGTTCAGTCTTTCTCATCCTTTGTGTGCACTATTTCCAGAGTCTCTTAACCAGTGTCTCTGCCTGCCTTCAGTCTTACTTCTCTCCAATCTATTCTGGCTTTATGACCGCCATGTTTGAAAACTGTCATGGCTGAGCTTTACTTCCTATGGTAATTCCAGTCTCACCATGACAAACCAGATCACTGCTTAATCAGTCCTTTCTCTGTCTTCAGTCCATTGCAGTTATGCTGGGGTTCTTAATCATTACTCCAGTGTCTTATTCCTTAACCATGGGTCAAAGTCAAAGTGGAACTTAGACTCACCATCATAGGCTAGCATAGAGCTTTCCTTTTAGAAAGCTAAGGGTATTGAGATGCTAACCAGTCTTAAGTTAGAGAAGAAAGACTTTATAGGCCATAGAAGAGATAATGTAATAAAATCTCTACTGTAGACTTATTACCACTTGGAGAACTATCTACTATAGTAAATCCTTAGGGGAAGACTTCAATGTGGTCACAATGTGTAGTACATATATATATACATACACACACACATATACATACGTATCCCACATCATGTGAATATTCATATTCTGCTGCAGAAATATAAATTATTGATTGCAGAGTGATGCACTGACCACACCAGAATATTACAAATAGTATACAGTTTATCTGAAAACATATGTCACCAAGAATTTTTAATTAGCACACGTAGGTCTTTTTAGAGCTGAGAGAATTGTACAACCATATCTTTAGTTTCTGTTTTCCTTCTGTTTATTAGTTTCTCAGAAAATGGGCTCATTCTTCTTCTCCATGTCAACCATCTTATCTTTCTGTATTCTTCTCTTTCTTCCTATTTTCTAGATCTGGCTTCTCGGTTGTGTCCTCCAAATCACTCATTTTGTTGTGTTTGGGTACTTGTCTCCTTAAGTTCTTTCAGTGCCTTTGAAATTTCACTTTTCTTGTAGTATTTCATGATCTCACCCCCAGTCACTTTTTATGTCAGCTTTCTGTTTTTTATCTATTCTGGTTGCTCGTCTTGTGTGCTTTCTTATTGTGAATCTTCACTCCTGTTTCACAGAAGTTATACCTTCTTGTATCCTGTGGACAATTGAAATAGTTTATATATGTAAGTGATATCCTGCTATTCCTGTTTTTCTGGCTTTTTAAAAACTTAGGAATTATTGCTGAATTTTATCAATTAAAGGAATTATAAATCATGTTTTGGTGTCCTTCTATTTTTTGATAAATAAGGTAATGGACATTACGATATTGAAGAATCCTTAAAGACATAGATGAAACCCTATTTGGCCATAGTTTATTATGCTTTTAAAATATTAGATCTTATCCATTTATTATTAGAATTATTACATATATATTCAGAGATAAAATCAACTTTTCTTTGTTAGGGATACTGAAATTTGAATTTCATGGAATTTTCATATGTCACAAAATATTCTGTTTCTGGTCTTTTTCAACCATTTAAAAACGTAAAATTCATTTAAAGCTCACAGATTGTACTAAAAAAAAAAAGGCAACAGGCCATAGTTTCCTGACCTCTGGTCAGGACTAGCTTACTGTGAAAATTCTCTGTTCTTTGAAGATTCATTAGATCTCACTTGTAAACCTAGGATCTTTTAAATATTAACTCTTAAATTTCCTTTCTAGTCTCTTTTAAAGTAGAAAATTTGATGAGATCAGCTTATTTATTTGATTCTTAATTTGCTAGGAAGCCATCTGTTTCCTCTGGGATATTAACTTACATTTTTTGCCATTGGTTGTAAATAGTATTGACTTATGACAGTGCTACAATTTGAATGTCTTTTGTCTCTTATATCTTCTTATGGGTTTTTTTTTTCTTCTTTTTAAAAATTTTATCTTTAGCATTGCTTGTGAAAGGTTTATCTATTTATCTCCTCAAAGAATTAAATTTTAGGTTATCTTTTTAAAAAGCACTTAATTTGGTTTCTAGTTCATTAATTCCTCTTTTTATCTTCATTAATTCCACTTTTCCACTTTGTTTTTCTTTTTTTGAGTCTTACAACAAGTAATATGTTCCTTCATTTTATTTTTATTTTTATTTTTTTATTTTTATTTTTTAAGATTTTATTTATTTATTTGACAGAAAGAGACACAGAGAGAGAGGGAACACAAGCAAGGGGAGGGGGAGAGGGAGAAACAGGCTTCCCGTGGAGCAAGGAGCCCGATGCAGGGCTCGATCCCAGGACCCTGGGATCATGACCTGAGCCGAAGGCAGACACTTAACGACTGAGCCACCCAGGCGCCCCTATGTTCCTTCATTTTAATCATTTTTTTTTCTTTGTCAGTGAAGACATTTAAGGCTACAGAGTTGCCTTTGAATACAGACATAGCTCTGTCTCATTGATTTTGGTCTAAAGAGTTCCTCTTTACTTTCTAGATAGTGTATAATTTTAATTCTAGTTATTAATTTTAGTTCAGTACACCTGCTTAGATGTGCTGAAATGTCTTGCTACAAGGATTGAGTGAAGGAAGCTAGAGACACATAGTACCATTTATGTGTAATACATAACTGACCTTTGCTATGAAGAGTTGGGAAGGTGGGGAGCAGTGTAGAGGATGGGGCCAGTAACGGAGCACTAGGGGACTTTAAGGTAGTATAATGTTCTCTTTCATGATTGGGGTGTTGGTTGCATGGTACATTCATTTAGCTGTTCACCTAAGATTTCTACACTTATTATTTCCATAGAAAGTTCAAAAACATAAAGCCTAACAAAAGACCGAATAAAATTGCATTTTTTAAAGAACTTTGATGCCTTAGAAACAATGATCATTACTTATTACTCAGTCTGTGTTCAGAACTGCTGTCTAATTGGCATACCAATGCAATGTTTTCCTTTACTGCTTTGTTCAGAGTTTGCTTAGACTGTAGTTCAGTCACTGAACATAGATATGTGAGAACATTCTGGTGTCTGTTTTGTTGAACTCATTTACTGACTCATTCTTTAAAAGAAAAACTCAATGAATATATTGAGTGGTTTGTAAGAGACCTGCACCTCTTATTTTAAATGTTACACATCAGCTTATTGCCCCTTGTACCTGCCTTTTGACTCTATTTATTGTTAGGGCTTACCTTTGGAGTGCACATCTTCTTAACACCCATTTAGAAAGGAGATGGGAGTAATGGTGTTATTTCTGCATTTCTACAGGCTATTATGCATCATGAAGGTCACATGGATGATGGCTTAAATTTATCTAGATCTCAGCATGAAGAATCACGGACTGCACGAGTCATCCGGAGCACAGTCTTCCTTTTCAATAGATTTATAAGGTACATTTTCTTTTGTTGTAGTAGTGGTTTGACATTTTATTTCAATGTCCTTATTGGATTTACAAATACATAATTCTAAAATATACGATGGTGGTGAACCTGTGATTTGGTGGGTTGGCAGTACACATTAGAAAATTATAGATGACTTTATGTCTTTCTCATAAATAAACTTTTAAAAAGGGAATGTGATTTTTAGAAATTGTTTGTGTAACTTATAATTTGTAACTGTAGTTCAGGATTATTCTGTAATATACCCTTATGCTGGAACTGTTTAAATTTCCTTTCACACAGAGGGTAATGAAGCCTAGATACTTGTGAGTTTTGAACTGTATGTATGTATTGATTTTAAAGGGTGTGGGGAGGAGCAGAGGGAGAGGGAGAGAGAGAATCTTAAGCAGGCTCCATGCCCAGTGTGGAGTCCAGTGCAAGGCTCCATCTCACAACCCTGAGATCATGACCTCAGTTGAAATCAAAAGTCGGACACTTAACCAACTGAACCACCCAGGCACTGCTTGAATGGTATTTAAAAGTGATTCTTGTAGTAAATAACTTTTCCTACTTCATAATGGAAACAGTTGCATATCTACAAACTAATCAAGCTTGTGGTCAGGGTGTTTCCTGGTAACATTATACCAATATACATTCTGGCTTGTGATGGATATATCCTATGTCTCTTTAAACTTGCCAATTTGATGGAAAAAAATTTATATGTGCGTGTATGTATATACAGATAGATGTATGTATTTATAATAATTTTTTAAGTTGAATTTATTCAAGAATTGTGAAAATAGATATTTCATCTTTGTTGACCAGATTTGTTTTTCTTTGTGATTTACCTATTATATAATTTAGTTCATCATGTTCATGATTTTTATATATGTGAGTTTTACTTATATGCTCATTAGTATTTACTGAACTATTAGACTTCCTGAATTTATACAGTTCTTTAGTGTATCTTAGAAACTTTGAAACATTTTACATAATTACAGAATATTTTTAAGGGTATGTTATTTTAAGGAAAATAATTTGATCCTTCCGTAATATTCATGAAAGCACAAAATTCTTTAAAATCTCCATGTCTTTACAATATTGGCACCAATGTATTTCTCAAAGTAAATTCTTTTTAAGTATTTGTTTTATTAATGTAGGCTTATTTACTATTAAGAGTCTAATTTTTAGGGGTGCCAGGGTGGGTCAGTCGTTAAGTGTCTGCCTTCGGCTCGGGTCATGATCCCGGGGTCCTGGGATCGAGCCCCGCATCGGGCTCCCTGCTCCATGGGAAGTCTGCTTCTCCCTCTCCCACTCCCTCTGCTTGTGTTCCCTCTCTCACTGTGTCTCTCTCTGTCGAATAAATAAATAAAATCTTAAAAAAAAAAAGTTTAAGTTTTAAAAATGCATAGGCAGGCTTCTGTTTTTTACTTCTTAGAGTGAAAGTCAAGGTCATTTAGTTTTTCTTCATTTGTGTTTTCTTATGTAGTTTCTTTTCTTTTTAAGATTTTATTTATTTTAGAGAGAAAGAGTGCACGAGTGCATGCTCGAATGTGGGAGGGGCAGCAGGAGAGAAAGAGAATTCTAAGCACACTCCACACTGAGCACGGAGCCCGGGGTGGGGCTCGATCTCACGACCCTGAGATCATGACCTGAGCCGAAACCAAGAGTCAGATGCTTAACTGACTGAGCCACCCAGGCGCCCCTCAGTTTATTTTCTGTGACCCTTCTGGTCTCTGTCTTCCATGTCAGGGTGGTGGTGATGGTGGTGGTGGAATTGTATATGTGTGCATGTGCGAGCATGTGTGTGTGTGTGTATGTGTGTGTGTGTGTTTGTTTGCATTTGTGTTGTGAGAAGGGATTCTATTTTTCTTGACTGCAAGAAAAACATATTAAACCTTCTTTTCCTTTGGTAGATTAATGAATGTTTTCTGAAAGTAAGTTATATTAGGGGGAATCTGTGTTTGGTAGTAATATTGTTTAATCTTCAAAGTACAAAATGTAGAGATGAAATTCATAGCTTTAATTTTTGCTCTGATATAGTATGATTCTACCACCTTTGGTTTTCCTCAATTATTTTTTTCTCTTCATTTTTTTGTTCATACATTAAGATGGTGAATGTCTTTATAGGAGACAGGTGTTGTAAAACTTAACATAATTAACAACTTTAGGAATCTTGGATAGTATTTGACAAGAGGCTTCTAGAAAGTAATTTAATGGTTACATTGCTGAGAGCAGATAAATGTCAGTTTTTAGGTTATTAATTGAATATACTATTTCTTTTTACATTTAAAAATGTAGGTACTGTATTTGATGGGGAACCTGGATGGCTCAGTTGGTTGAGTGTCCAACTGTTGGTTTTGGCTTGGGTCATGATCTCGGAGTCGTGGGATTGAGTTTCTTGTCGGGCTCACACTGAGTACGGAATCTGCTTGTCCATCTCCCCTCCCCCACCACCCTCCTGCTCACACACATGGGTCCTTGGCCCGCACACTTGCATGCTCTCTCTCTCTCTCTCAAATAAAAAAAAAATCTTTAAAAAAATGTAAATACTATTTTTGAGTCACTTTTGAATTTCATTCACTTTAGTGTGAGAGTTGAGTTTGACTTCTTTATAAATACATTTATGATTCAGCTAAAGTGTAATAGGATAAAATGTTTAGAATGGAAGTATATCATTGTATATAAATTTTCATTGTAAAAGGGGAGAAATAATTTTCTTCTGAGAAGTCATTTCTTTTAGTTTTTGGGCATAGAAAGACTTATAGAGATGATAAAACTAAACAATTCCATTGTAATTGGGAATTTCAGACAAAAACTTTAGAAGAGTTGTACAGTTTTCGTATTTGTACTCTTTATAAGGCTGAAGTCAACTATTTCAAAATTATTTGTAATCTTTATGTAATTGATGATACATTTTAATTATATTTGTGAGCATTGTCAATTCAAAGATAAGCTAATTCTCATTTATGAGGCCCTTATTGTTTTTAAAATGTAAATTCTAAAGCAGATAATTAGCCAGGAACATTTCCTTGGAATAAAATATTGCCACATAATTTTACTGTTGCAGAGAGCAGGAAAAGAAGTATAATATTTTATGCATTAAATTTTGTCATGCCTAATATGAGTATTGCTATATCAACTATATAGTATATGCATTCTCCCATTCTTTTATGGTATCATGTGTTTTTTAATAAACTTCTTATTTTAAAATGATGTTGAACATTTTATTTATTTATTTGGCAGAAAGAGAGAGCACAAGCAGGCGGAGCGGCAGGCAGAGGGAGAGGGAGAGGAACAAGCAGACTCCCTGCTGAGCAGAGAGCCCAATATGGGGCTCAATCCCAGGACCCTGGGATCATGACCTGAGCCAAAGGCAGATGCTTAACCAACTGAGCCACCCAGGCACCCCTTATTTTGAAATGATTTTGATTTACAGATACCATATTTTAAAGTTCTTTCCAGATACATTCAAAGCTATGAATTTTAAAGCTCAGAATCTCAGAAAGCTTAACAAATTAACATATTGACATACCAGTAATAGGTTTTTCTTCAAAGAAAATGCACCACGATGTTTCTTAATCCAATTTTAAATACTTTTTTTGTCTGATAAGAGGAAAACATTTTAATATGTTATTTTCTGATTAATGAGAAAACTTTAAAAATTAACATCATTGGAATGTATTTTTAAACAGGCAGGAATTTTCAGAATGGCAGTGAGGGTCACTGATCATGTAGCAGTTAACAGTTCCTTCTCCAAAAACAAAAAACAGAGCAAGTGAAGTCAGAATTATGAAGCTGGGAAGCTGCATCTTAAACCTTGAAGTGTATGTAGTGATTTAAAGTGAAAATCAATTGGTTTCTAAATACTGAGACCATTGGCTTTGTAGGAATTGGTTCTCAAGGCCCTTCAGGTTTTTGTCTAGGTGAGTTTCTCTTGATACTGGTGGTTTTAATATAGCATCATATATAGTTGACAAAATTTAGAATTTTTTATTTGAATATATTAATTATTGTTGTTTGAGGAAAACTAGGACCTTGCCTATGGGTTCCTTTTACAGTGGTGTAGGGAGAGAAGATAAAGCTTTACATCCTCTGTGGTCTAAAAAATAATAAGATTGCAGATCGCTGATATAGAGAAATGTTTGCTATTTATTTTAGGGGCCTTGATGCGCTCAGCAAAAAAGTGAAGGCTTCCACGGTGGACCTCCCTATAGAATCTGTGAGTCTAAGTCTGCAGGACCTGATTGGCTACTTTCACCCCCCAGATGAGCATTTAGAGCATGAAGACAAGCAGAACAGATTACGAGCTCTAAAGAACCGGCAGAATCTCTTCCAGGAAGAGGTGAGTTTCTACCAACATTCATTTTTTATGCTACTGTCTTAGGAAAACAACTTCTCTGTAGGGAAATTCTCTGACAGTTCGCATTCTGAGTTGGGTGAGCAGGTAAACTATGGCATAAGGGAACCAGACCTTGGAGGAATCCTGCAATTATTTTTGTTTCTCTGTCAGGGAGTTCTCATTTAAAAAAAAATGGAATTCTTCCTTCCCCTGGCAAAGGACATTTTTTTTTGCTGTCTGCTCAGCCTTCATGCTGATCATTCATTGCACTGCAGTTTACTTCATGTTTGTTATATAAACATAGTATCTTGAAGTGTCTAAATGAATACAGGCTTTGAAAAACAAGAAGGTTTTTTTCTAATTTTTTTAATTTTAATTTTATTTTTTAAAGATTTTGTTTATTTATTTGAGAGAGAATGAGAAAAACAGAGGGAGCATGAGAGGGGGGAGGGTCAGAGGGAGAAGCAGACTCCCTGCTGAGCAGGGAGCCCGATGTGGGACTCGATCCTGGGACTCCAGGATCATGACCTGAGCCAAAGGCAGTTCCTAACCAACTGAGTCACCCAGGCGCCCCAACAAGAAGGTTTTTCGACTGTTCAGGTTCTTGAGGCTACTTGGACGTGCCTGAGGGGCCACAGGAAGCTTTGTATTGGGAGGGAATCTGCCCAGGAGAGGCAGAGCTCAGGGTTCTCTGCTTAGAGCAACTCCACTTATTACTTTTATGTGCATTCAGTTTTTGTGTGTGATTTTATTTCATGCACATTCCAGTTAAAAAGAGCTCAAGTGCCATATTTCATAGACAGAATAACAGAAGGACTGAGGGATGTTTAACGATTCTAAAACGAGTGTTGGAATTAGTACCATATATTCAAGAGTTTCAGTGGGAGGATGTCAGAGGTGAGCTGGCAAATAAGGCTAGCTCAGCAGGTGTTCCCATTCTTCTCAGTGTTCCCTGTATGTGGAATAATGAATGTGTCTGAGTAAAAGTATCTTTGTGAAAGTATCTAAGAAAAAAGGTTAGAGAATATTGCTGAGGACCCATAAGCCCTAATTCTACATTCTTCTAGTCTGAAAACCGTTTCCTGATTTTCCATCAAAGACCTTTGAAATTCACATTAATTTATGAGGACTTTTCACTGTGTATACAAAAAACTGATGTGTTTAGAGACCGTAGAGGTATGAAAGCACAGGGCAGGTCAGCATGAGTCAGTAACAACATGGAGTAGTTTGTTGGGTCCTTTACATTTGATGTGTGCCAAAATGTTAGACTATGCTGCATTCACTTAGTATCCTGAAAAACTAAAATGAAATACTGGGCTGTGAAATTTTGAAGTATTGATTTGGATTTTTTTTTTTTTTTCAATTTCTCATGGAAGACAGCATGGATGGGGACCTAGAAATGTGCATAGGTTCATGGCACCTCTTAGAACTCTGTGAGAAATAGGTTTCCTTGATCAGTCAACTTGAACTAGCTCCTCCTTTCATGTGCTTTGCCTCATTTTGGCAACCTTGATCTAGCAATAATAATAAAAGCATAATTTCAAATGTAGACAGCATCTTACAAAGCCGTATAATGCATTTTTATTTGCTTCAAAGATCTCTTTTCATGAGCTTTTCTTCATTTATTAGCTCTTTCATTTAATATTAAAAGTAATGATAATGATCATGATCATAATCTTGCCTACCCTAAGAACAAGGATTCTTAGCTCTTACACTTTTCTAGGGGAGGAAGAGAAGTCGTTTTCCTCTACTCCTCTTAGGTTCATTGGTTGGGGTCCTGCAGACTAGAGTGACAAAAGACAGATATATAAGAGAAAACAAGGTGTTTATTAACATGTGAATCATGCATATCCATGGGAGCACTCAGTGATGAGCAACTCAAAGGAGTGGTTAGAACTCAGGCTTATACAGCATCTTAACAAAAAAAGGACAGTAAATTTGTAGAAAAGGAAAGAGACAAAGGAAAGGAGTTTTGAGCTTCTAGGGGTAGCAAGTTGTGGGAAGGTGTATATATGGAGGAACTAGTGGAAGTTAAGGGTGAGTTAGTAAAGTTATGTAGATTCCTCTGTGAAGCCTCTGGGCTGATAAGTGTTGGGCCTTGTTTCTTGTGGTTAAGCATCTCCTGTCCTTCCTGGTAGAGGAAAAGGGCAGAGAGTTTTTCTTGTGTATGATTTTTCTCAGTGCCTTCAGCTCAAAATAATCCTTATGCCAAAGTTGCATATCTTGGGGTGGCATTCTCTGAACCTCTTCATGTACCCCTCATGGTAGAACACAGTTGTGACTGATCCATTAATCCAGTAGTAAACCTTGCAAATAGAAGTATAAAGCACATAGTTTTGTATTGTTCTTCTGCTTCCATTTGAAAATAGCCCTCAGGACTTAAAAACCACTTGAATTATGTCAAGAACATTTTATTTCACATGCAAGTGTGTCTCTTCCTGACATTTAAATAATATGATCTCAGTTTTCTTTATGATTAACAGTCTTACTTTAAGCCAGGCTTTTTTTTTTTTATTTTTAAATTAATCAACTTAGATTTTTTTTTTTTTTTTTGGTCTGTGAGCAGAATCATGGTTTCTTATGGTAATTTGTATTAACCTTCCAGGGAATGATCAACCTCGTGCTCGAGTGTATAGACAGGCTGCACGTGTACAGCAGCGCGGCGCACTTTGCTGACGTCGCCGGGAGAGAAGCCGGCGAGTCCTGGAAGTCGATTCTGAATTCTCTCTATGAATTGCTAGGTAAGAAGTATGACGGTTTTCAAGGCAACTGACTCACGTCTATTTCAAATGATCACATAGCAGGTAATGTAGTTTCATGATATGCTTCTTCATTGAGGCTTTTAGTGTTTAGTGTTGTTGCACTTAAAGCCAAGTGATGTTTATAATACTTATGTCCATCTCTGAGTGTGGACTGTGGCCAGAGCAGTGGATTGGTCTCTGGTTTATGGAGGGGAGTCTTCGAGGGTGTGAGTTTGTGGGTGAGGGACCTCTGTGTGAATTTGCATGAAATATTTCCTTTACGATTCTCAGGTTAGTACCACAAGACCCCTCTTTCTCCCTCACAAGAATCTTGTCAGGAACCTTCTCCCTTTTCCTTCTGTAGTCTTTTTGAGATTTGCGTTTGCACCCTCTATATGTGCTGGAGGTAAATTAGGAACGCTTGTGGTGGTTTGTGCTACATTCCTTTGACTGTATGCAAACATATGTCCTTAGTATTTTTGGCCTGGGCTATTCCACTAGCTTTCACTTGTCTCTTGTCAAGAACTATGAACTTGCAAGCGAGTGAGCTGGCCTCCAATGAGGATAAAGAGGTATAGTTTATTTCTCAAAGCAATGGATGAAGCCAAAATATCAGCATTCTTGGGGCCAATTCCTCAAACCCCACTTCTCATAGGACAATATGAAGGGAACAGTTGACATGCAGTGGATTGAGTCACAGGAAAGGAATTGTGAGCTTAGGGAGTCCAAATCAGTTACACTGGAAATACTCCTGCCCACCCTTTTGCTTTGGATGGAGACACCATCTCTCTCTTCCAAGGCTTCTTGCTGCAAACATCCTTGAAAAGAAAACCCAAAGCAAAGTCTTTCAGTGGCTCCTTCACAAGACATGCAAAAGAGGAGACCCGTGGAGAATGACCTCTCTCTTCACTTGTCCTCAGTTCCAAAATCCCAGATTCATCTGGTACACTGTAACTGCACATCTCTTCCATTTAGACATTTCTCACCTTTTTTCCCATCATTCCAGAAGGTGAAGTTTAACTTGCTTCGCCTGGTACTTGAGGCCCCTGTGAACTCTTCCAGGCTGGTTCTTGCCAGTGTCTTTCCCCTTTCTCTAGCCATACCCATTTCTGAGTGCCCTGTCCATGCTTCAGTGACATTTTCCTGCTCCCCCCTTTTCCAGAATTCCTGTATATCCTTTGAGGCCCAGTTTACACCTGACTTTTTTGAAGTTAATGTTGACTTTTTTCTAACTCTCAAGCACAATTGAACAGTTCCTTCTCTCTCTCTCTCTCTCTCTGCTTTCTTGGCACTTAGTATTTACTTGTGTTATAGCACTTACCCATTTCTTACTTAGTTACATATGTGCCTGTGAGCTCTGGGGCAAGAATGGTACCTTTTCTGATTTTTGCATCTCTGTCCTTTAACTTCATGTCTGGCACATGGCAGATACTCAGTAAATGTTTACTAATTAAATAAATTGAGTTCTGATAGAGTAGGAAAGTATAATTCCTAAGTAGAGAAAAGAAGTCTTGAGGCATTTTTGTGTGTGTGTGTTAAGAATGAAAGGTAGTCAAAATATTTGGAAATTCTCTATAATCTAATTGAAACTCATTAAAACTTAATAATACTATTTAGCAAATAGAACTCTTGTGCCTGCTAGCATTTCTAATATCCTCCCTTTAGGTAGGCTATTTGATCTGCCATGAAAATTAAACACATGTAGTTTGGTACTTTCAGAATAAGGGGTAACAGTGGCTAGCATTTCTTTGAGCAGGACCAGGCCACAGAGGCTTTCTAGGAATCTGGATTTATTATTTTACCCATGAAATCATGAGGACAAGGATTTTATGATGCCAACATTCTAGGGGCTGCATTTCTTTTCCAGTGAAGAAATTACAGCACTGAATTTCTGTATTTGGTAGGGACTGACGTATGGTAGTGTTTTAACACCACAGTTTAACATCTTCACTTGCTATGACATGGGATTCATTTCTGTGACAAACTAGATGCTTAAGATCAAGAGGTGCCTCATCTGTGTGTGTTTGAGGATAGGAAGGATTATGTGCAGAGACAATGTTGTTGTAGAGAAATCTAGATAATGTGCATCTTACATTTTCACATCAGCTCTTTCCATAGTCTGTTACTTTTTTTGTTTCAACCGATCCATGTGCTCATGTATCCATAAGTAATAAAAATGTACAGAGAGAATTATAATGTTTTTTCTAAAATCATAGAAAAAAATCTAATCCAGCAGAGTCAACACTTCAGTTTTATCATTTCGGGCTACGTATCCCTCAAGCTTATATTCCTTTTACCTTCACAGACCTCTTTGATTAAATCTCATTATTTTAGAACCTATTGGAGTAGTAGTAATAAACTCTACAAAATGCTGGAGACATGGAGAGTGGGAGTACTGCTCCTCATCAGAATTGGTTTCATGGCTTGATTTTTAATGAGACCATGGCTAAAGATATGATTTTTAAATGGTTTATTCAGAGTGCGGGGGGGAAGAAGCAGTTGTTGTAGGTGGAATGATGATAGATCTCTTAGAATGTGTCCACTTGCAAATTACAGCCTCGACTCAAAGTGGCTCACATAGTGGAGGGCATTTATTGGCTTGTAGAGCTGGAAGTCAGCTAGTGGGTGTGTACTCAATGGCTTCATCATGGCATCCAGAACCTGCTTCTTTATATCTGTTCTGCCTTCCACAAGGGTCAGCTCCCTCCAATGCCGGCTTCCCTTATGTGGCCTCAGTGGGCTGCCCTTAGCTCCAGTGCTGCAGATTTCCTCTCTGACATGGAAGAAGTGAAAGAAGGCTGCTCCTTGAAATTATCTTAGGAAAGAGCATGCCATTTCCTAAACCCCCCTAGCAAATCGCCTCTTTCATCTCATTAGCCCAGCTGTGTCTGTAGTCTTTCCTGAGCTCATCATTCTTGCAAGGGAGGATAGGAATTTCACCAACACTGGCTCTGACTGATCAAGGACTCACTCCTGGAACTGGGGCCAAGCCCTTGGACTGCTTGGCTGCCCTACAGAGGTGAATGTTGCAGAGAATTCTGGGGAAGAAGCTAAAGTGTCCAGCTCAAATGTTAACTTAGATACTTGACTCATCCAAAAGGTTTTATGGACTAAATTCTAACCTGAGTGCCTTTATCCACCATGTGGCACCATGTGTAAAGAGTGTTGGCACTCAATAAATATTTGTTTGAATTATTCAACAAATGTATTAGAGATTCCCATGGAGGTTAGATTTTCCTGTAACAGGTTAGATGTGGCCATCGAGACACTGTATTACATACCAGTGCACCTGTTACTCTGCCACCATTGTGTCTTTTTTCTTGAAAAACAAAAGCTTAATCTTTAATCCATAGGTAACAGTCTCTGAGAAAATGACCCTTCTTTTAGCCAAGAAGGTCTCAGAATTAAAGCTCTCCTACTTGTATGACTTTGAACAGATAACTAAACTCACGCTCAGTTTCTTCATCTGCAACACTTAATCTGGAGTTCCTATTCCTGAGGATTATCATACAATCCCCTGAGTTGATGTAAAGTGCTAAGAAGAATACCAGGCACATAGTGAGTGATACCTATTGTTATTATACATATTATCTGTAAATGGCTATAATAATTCCCTTTATAATGATGTTGGATGGCTTAAGTATAGTAATGTATTTCAAATGCTTACCATAGTGTCTTATTGCTATTCTCATTATTCCTTTTTTTTTTGGATGCTTTTATCACCATCCTCGTCCTCATTTACATAGTAAAGCCTTCTTTTTTGACTTCTCTTTCTATTCTTACTGTTTTTGCCTTTTAAATATACCTCAGAAGTTACCTGGGTGGCTCAGTTGGTTAAGTGTCTGCCTTCAGCTCAGGTTGTGATCCTGGGGCCCTGGATCAAGTCCTGCATCAGGCTCCCTGCTCTTTAGGGAGCCTGTTTCTCCCTCTGCCTCTCTCTCTCTCTCTCCCTCCATCTCTCATGAATGAATAAATAAAATCTTTAAAATAAATAAATAAATATGCCTTAGAGGGGTGCCTGGGTGGCTCAGTCAGTTAAGGGTCTGCCTTCGGCTAAGGTCATGATCCCAGGGTCCTGGGATGAAGTCCCACATCTGGGGGCTCCTTGCTCAGCGGGGAGCCTGCTCCTCTCTCTCCCTCTGCCCCTCCCCCACATTTGTGCGCTCGCACTCTTTCTTTCTCTCTCAAATAAATAAAATCATTTAAAAAGAAATAAATGTGCCTTTTCACTTGGAACTGTTGGATATAACAAGGGAATTTTCTGGATTTTGAAAATATAGAAGATGTAGCATCATGATTATTGTAGATACATGGTGGCTCTTGGTTTCCTCATCAGAAAAGGGAGGAAATAAAGTTTTCTTCATAGTTCCCTCCAGGTTGAAAATCTTATATTCCATTGTTCCATGCATTCCCTGAACACACCCATCTCTTACATCTGTATCCTCCACATCTGGTGTATAGCTGGTATTCAATAAATACTTGAGAATCACATTGATAATCGGATGCTGTAAGATTTCTGGTTAATCTCTCTGACTCTTTTCCTTCTCTCCGCCGATGTTTATTGGAGACATCGGGGAGCCCTCACACACTTCTTCATGAATTTCCGTTGACTCTCAGATAGTTGGTATGCACCCTTCCTGTTCTAGTCTTTGGAATACTCAAGCTCCATGTCTGGTCTGTCTCTCTCCCTTCTCACCTGTGACCTCACTCACTTTGTTTCTAGTTCCTGAGCTTTGGGTGCCTCCCATCCAGTACTTTTCTTCCAGAATGTCTAGAATATAAGAGGTCGATATAAGAGGTTTGGTAGACAGTACATATATATCTCTGTATTAAAGACCAATATGTAGATATACAGAACATATTTCTTAAATATATGTATCTTGTTTCCTTAATTATTTACATCCCATTTGATTAAGAAAGGATTTGAGGGAGCTATTACTTAAAATTGACACAATTAGAATTCCCCAAGACTCACATCTGAAAGGAAGATAACAGTATAG